CTTCAATAAAGCTATTAAAAAGAATACATATATCAAATAAAAAGCAAAGTCAGCAAACACTGCTATCAAACAAAATTAGATGATTGATTTTAAAACTAATTTTCTGACAGCCAAGGAAAAAGGCAAAGACATTTGTGAGGCTATAAAACATCATTTTTGTTTAAAAAAGATAAGAAAAAAAAGCATTCCTATAATCCCAGCTACTTGGGAGGCTGAGACAGGAGAATAATTTGAGCTCAGGAATTCAAAACCAGGATAATTTGAACTCAGGAACTTGAGACCAGCCTAGACAACACAGTGAGACCCTCATCTCAATTTAAAAAAAAAAAAAATGCTAAATTTTTATATTCTTACTTAAAAGTGGGAGCCAAGCTATAAGGATGCAAAGGCATAAGAATAACACGATAGACTTTGGGGACTAAGGGGAAAAGGGTGGGAAGAGGGTGAGAGATAAAAGACAACAAACTGAGTTTATTGTATACTGCCCAGGACATAGGTGCACCAAAGTCTCACAAATCACCACCAAAGAACTTACTCATGGTACCAAATACCACCTGTTCCCCAAAAACCTATGGAAATATTTTTTTAGCTATATTTTTGTCTTTGGTTGGATGCAGTGGCTCATGCCTATAATTGCAGCACTTTGGGAGGCTGAGAAGGGCAGATTGCCTGAGCTCAGGAGTTTGAGACAAGCCTGGCCAACATGGCAAAACCCCGTCTATACAAAAAATGCAAATTATCTGGGCATTGTGGCATGCACCTGTGGTCCTAGTTATCTGGGGGCTGAGGCAGGAGGGTTGCTTGAGCCCAGGTGGTTGAGGCTGCAGTAAAGTCTGTTCATGCCACTTTACTCTGGCTTATGTGACAAAGTGAGACCCTGTCTCAAAAAAAAATTTATTAATTAAAATACAAATTTTGTCTTTATCTGTTTCCTGCTGCTATAACAGAATACCACAGACTGGGTAATTTATAAATAATAGAAGTTTATTTAGCTCATGGTTCTGAAGGCTGGGAAGTCCAAGAGCATGGTGCCTGGTAAGGGTCATCTCATGACAAAAGAGAAGACAGAAGTAATCCCATGAGACAGAAAGGCACCAAAGGCTGGATCACGTTATGACAACCTGCTCTGTGATAACTGACTCTCTCTTTCAATAATGACATTAATTCATTGGCTGGAGCCCACTTATTAAGCACTGTTGCATTAGCTATTAAGTTTCCAACACATGAACTTTTGAGGGAAACTTCAAACTATAGTTTTTCAGAAACAACTTTTTTTCTGCTTCTGACTTCTACTGAAAAAAGAAAAAAAAAAAAAAAACAGGTGTTCCATGTATTAGAGAGAGCCTCTGTAAAATTTGAGGGAATGTTGTTCGGTCTTAGTTTGGACACAGAATTTTTCTGTGCAGCCAGAGCAATAACACACTGCAGAACTGAGTTTGAGGAACAGCAACTCAATACCAAGAAGGAGCTCAGAGAAGCTGAAGAAGTGAGTGTTTAGCATCTCTCTTTGGCTGTATTTCTCACATATCACTCTTCCCATCTGGGCTTTTCCACAGAAAACAATCAAAAATTGTGTTTACTAATGATTTATGATGTCCATGCCTGGTTGAAAGGAGAGTATGGTGCTGAAACATCCAACATGTAGATCATTAGGGAAAGTACAGTTTGGTTTATGCTCTTGCCCAGGAGTACGGCCTCAAACACAGAGTGAGCTGAGAGCATGCAGAGGTAAGTAAGACTTCTCTCTGCAAAGCAGCTTTGGATATGTCTTCAAGACACTACAAGGATAGTGAAGCCCTAAATTTCTGCACCTACGGTACATAAGAGCTACCCCTGGCCTGAAGGATTTTTAGGGTGAAATTAGCCTCCATCTGTGCCTGCCACTGAGAACTTTCATGTGGATCCTGTGGAGCTAATAATTTGAAGCAGAATTGAATCTCCATGTCTCCAATAGGTGATGTTCGTCCCAAAACACATAGCACCACCCCTGAAAAACAACTATACTTACCTGTCTGTTGAATACAAGCTCTATTAAGCAGGAGTAATGCTAAAAATGCCATATTTGACACTGAGCTATTCCTCCCGACAGAAAGCAAGCATTCAGTGTAGGACATGTCATCAGCAGAGAGAATAGCAGATACCTTCCTGTGTGCTGTGGCAAAAGACACAGCATCTGCTTTATCTAAAAATGCTGACCAAAATATGATGACTTAAAATTAAAGAACTGAGTACAACCACATTTAATGCTGCTTAAAATTGGAATTTACCACAGAGAGCTACTGTATTTTACAACAAGGACTATGGCAGAGACCCTGGAGAAAAATAAAAAGCCTTGGACTTACTGAGACCCTACAATATTGCTCTAAATACTTACTGCAAAAATCTTAAAATGTTCTTAGTTTCAACAAGAGCAACAACCACAAAAAAAAAAAACCTGACTTTAAAAATAAGCAAATTATTTGAATAGACATTTCTTCAAAGAAGATACATTAATAGGCAAAAATCACATGAAAAGAAGTTTAATATCTCTAAGCATCAGATAAATGTTCATCAGACATTATGGAAGGCTACTGTTTTGGGCCAGCCTCTGCTCAGCAAATTGCAACCCTCAGAACGAGCTGTTGCTGAGTCTAGAATTGCAAATAAAGCCAATTCAATTTTTAAACTAAATTTGTTGTCATTCTGCCTTTCAATGTCCTTTAAGATTTTCTGCTGCTTCTCAGCCAGATTACAGGTGTGAGCTGCAAAGCTCGAAGCTTTAAAGGTCTCCTTAAAAGTTTACATTAGAAGGCTGTTCAAAATTGGCTCATCTTTGATCATGCTAGATCTACAATTACTGCAGATTTCTCTCACCTTCACTCAGCCAAAAGCCTATAGAAACCAACCAAGCCATAAATTTTCTTGAATGAACACATGGCCCTGATGGCTGCCACCACTGGAAATTTTTGTCTTCCTCTCCCTTCAGAGTTTGCCAGGATTCTTGGGAGTGCCTTCGCCTCATCCTGCCCTGGCTTCCAAGAACCAACAGGCCCTAGCCCAGAAGTACTGGCCTTGCCTTCTGCTTCTGCCTTGAAGGCGCAGAGTCTGTTGTGTGCTGGCCTTGCTAGAGAAAGTCTGCCTGTTACTGTTTACGAGGGAGGCGTCCCTCACAGGGATGGCGTGACCAGAGAAACATCTTCACACAGAGGCAGTTTTATTTCTTTCATGTGTTTGATTATTTGACTGTGGTTGTGGTTTTTGGGGCTTTAGGGTGAAGAGGTGGGGAAGGAGGTGGCCAAAAGAGGCCTAGAGGATAGGCGCAAGATAACCATAAAAAGCTGTGAGACCCAGCCGCACTAAGAAACACTTCCAACTGCCTGGCCACACCTTTTCCTTCCATCTTTTGCCATACACACCCACCCACCCACTCACTCATTCTAGAGAGGGAGGAAGAGAGGTCACAGAGACGCAATACTTCGAAGCTGCATCTTCAATTGCTGTTTCAATTCAATTCTTAAAAACTGTTGTTACTAAGTCATCTTATAGCAAAGGGATGAAGTCCCAAAGATCTGACCCATTAGTGATTGTGGAAGATTCTGGAATTCTCATGTTGCCAGGAGACAAGAAATGGGATATTTCCTCTCCACTGGGTTCTTCTCAGCAAAGCTGCAGAGTTTCACCAGGAAGAACAACGGAAAGAATTCCCTTTAAAATTCAAGTCAGGAAAACTCAGGCCTTAATCTGAAGCTCAGGACAGTACAGTGTGCAGTGCCCTAAATGAGGAATAGCTTAAGAACCAAATTTACCCTGCTCTTAGTAAAGACCAGATTCTTCACATTTTACATATAGGAAGAGCAGGCTAAAGGGAAGGAAAACCGGGGACTGAGTAACAATTTGCAAAGGGCAGCAAATGCAATCAATCAAAAACTGATGATGGCGAAACATGGGGCATCGGTCCTCTCTTCTGCTGAAATGGTCGCTGTGCTTGTGATTGTAGTGTCCTTTGCTCCCCTACTCTATCACAAGGAAATGGTCAAAGTTATTTCATGTAGGAGAGTAGAACTCCGAGTGGTGGGTGATCATTATGAGAAGCAGATTTCAGTTCTGACTTTCAGAGGGGCTGCTCAAAAAGGCCACGAGATGCCTATGCTATATGTATTCACGGTCATCAGGAGAACTGCTGCTTAGAATTGTAGGGGAAAATCAAGGCAGAGGCATTCATCTGCATGATACTTCTGGGGCTAGAGAGTCGATCATTGCAGCAATACAGATTACTGAAACTGTCTTTCTACCCCTCGTGATTAACAAATCTACTTCATCTAAATCTTGCTTCCTCACTCCTATTTAACCTTTTAAAATAAAATAATCTCACTGGCAAATTTTAAGAATCTATTAAGTACTCGGCCCAGGGATAGGTTTTCTGAGTAATAGAGGAAAATTTACTATGCTAGAGAGCAAACTGAGAAAGCAGATTGAAAGAAACAGAAAAGTAGGCTGGGCACAATGGCTCCTGCCTGTAATCCTGACTCTTTGGGAGGCCAAGGTGGGAGGATCCCTTGAGGCCAGAAGTTCAAGACCCTAGGCAACATAGTGAGACCCAATCTCTACAAAAAAAATAATAATAATTAGCTGGGGTGGTGGCATGCACCTGCAGTCCTAGCTGTTCAGGAGACTGAGGCAGGAGGATTGCTTGAGCCCAGGAGTTTGAGGTTACAGTGACTGCACCACTGCTCTCCAGCCTAGGCAACAGGGTAAGACCCTGACTCTTAAAAATAAAAATTTTTTTTAAAAATAAAGAAGAAATAGGAAAACAATTAAAAAAATCAGAAAATTTCAGAACCCCTTGAAAATCTTCCTCTTTTCCTAATAATGACCACAGGGCCTCGTTGTCTGTTAAGAACCATGACTGTCCCTGCATTCCGCCTGGCTCCTCCCTGGCTTGACTCATTTTCACCTAAGGGTAGAGAGGGCAGAATTACAGGGAGGCGTTTGTTGGGTTTCAGCCACACTTCTAAACTTACCTGGGTCACACTCTGTGGGTTTGTAGCCACCTGCCTCTCCTTGGTGATTAATGCAGCTTCACAGAAACCTTCTGTTCTCTGCTCCTCCTCCTACCTGGGACAGGTATCGAGGGTTTTCAGGCTAGAGATGAAAGAAAAGGCCAGTATGAAGAACGCTTATCTGTGATTAAAAAGATGGCAAGATAATGAAGACCTGGTAACTTGCCATTAGTGGGATCACTATAAACATCCCACTGTCACTTGCACTCAGGGATCCCCCGAGTTAAGAACTCCCAGAACCGGACAGCACTATGATGCAAACGCCATGATCGGGTCCCCTGTGTTCTTTCTGGGGAAACAGAGACTTGAAATCATGACCTTCCCAGACTTCTGTGGGTCACAGCATCCTCCACGCAGCCTTCAGGTCTTTCTAAATTATGACCTGATCTGATCCTGGTTCTTCCTTGACTGAGTTATTTCTAGGGATTCTTCTCTCCTACATCCCAGTTTCCTTCAAAGTCAGTGAGGCCCTCCAAGATCTAGCCCTGTGTGTGTGTGTGTGTGTGTGTGTGTGTGTGTGTGTGTGTATGTCTCACTCTCTCCAGTCTCATTTCTCACCATACCAGGTCTCAGACTCTTGCAAAGAAGTCAACACAAAATTCTGTTTCACATCTCTGTGCCTTTTGTACATGTATTTCCTCTATCCTCTGCTGGACTGACTACCTGACAAAGCCATACTATCTGAAGGTACGGCCACTCCTTTCCTGAGGCAGACCCTAGGGCAGTATGTAAATGAAGCCAAGAGAAACAGGCAAGTGCTCACGTTTATATTGCCATGTGCAATCAACTCACATGTGCCATCAACTCTTCCAGATCCTACTTTCTGTAGGGAATGAAAAAAGCAACACTTCTCAGCCAATGTGGTTAGCCCTCTTTTGCCTAGAGGGAAGATGATGGAGGGAGATTTAAGCAGGTGTTTTCCTTAAGGCCATTGAGGAGGACAGTAAAGATTACTTTCTTCTTTGAAGATTATAGGTAGCAATGGTCCACACTATTGAAGATGCTTATACAGTGTCAGACATGGATCTGTTGGGGTCCTACACTAATTACTCCCTTCCTCTCTGTCCTTCTTCCTACTTCTCTCCATCTCATGTCCACCATTTCCACCAAGTTTCATGCTTTATAGTCACTGGACTTGGATTAAAGAATAAGCAGAAAGTAATTGTTAATTCAAATATTAATTGCTTCAACTCTTTCTACTAAGTTTACATATAGTTTTTTCATAGACTGGAGAAAATAGATGTCTCGATCTGGCGCAGACTGCTGATACGTTTTCTTTGGAGTAATATGTAAGATGTTTTACATTATAAATTCTATCACTGATAGTTTCTCATCTTTGTAGAGAGCACACTCTATACTTGAGCACATATTATTACATTTGATCCCTGTATCAGTTTAAAAGCCTCATCACAAGTTCTGTCTCATCTGTCTGCTAAATCTCTCTCAGACCCGACTTACCCTTTTTCTTTTTGCCTCTGCCTTACTTTAGGCCTTGATCAGTTCTCACCCGGGTTTTTATATCAGCATCCTAAAGAGCCGACCAGACCAGCCAGCACCCTGTTTTTCATTTCCTCTGTCTCCGCTGTCTCCCACAAAGTCCGTTCTCCACCGCTCCAGATCTTTCTAAATTCCAGCCCAATCCTGCTACCTCTGTAGTTTAATGATTTTGGAGGTTCCCTTTCACCTACACAAAATTCAAACTCTTTTCCAGGGTACACAAGACTCTCTTTGCCTGGTTCTAATCTTGTTCGTTACCCTCGAGACCTCAAATTTTTAGAGTTTCTGAAGACATGATGCTTATACATTTATATCTTTATATACCTTTCATCTCTGGAATGCCCTTCGGATCTTTTCCTACCTGGTGACACCTAGTCATCCTTTGACAGACTGATCTGGTATCTCCTGTTCCGTGGAACAGCCCCCACTGCTCAAAGGCATAACTGATTACTCTCACCTCTAGTCACAATTTAACCCTACACTTACATCTATAATGGTACTTACTGCCCTGTTTTGAAATAATAGCTTCACTACTTATTGTCTCCCCAGTAAGCTGTGAACTCCATCAGAATAAGAAAGTTGTAATATTTATCCTTATATGTTTATTGCTTGCACAGCTCATGTCAGTTAATCTATAAATCATTGTTAAATGAATGGGGGAAGAAGAAAGATGAATATAGGTCTATTATTATTATTGTTTCCATTTAACAGGGGAAGAAACTGGTCTCAGGGAGATGAAGCCTCTTGCCCAAATTCTACCTCAAGCCCATGGCTCCTCACTTCAGATCATGGAGTCTGTTCTTTAAACCATCTTCCTCCAAGCAGATGAGCACAATAACAGTATACCTGAAATCTACTTGCACTCTGGACTAATCATGTCCTATTTCAGAAACAAGGGAAATAAGATAATATAAGACTTACAAATCGGCCAGGTGCAGTGGCCCACACCTGTAATCCCAGCACTTTGGGAGGCCAAGGCGGGCGGATCATGAGGTCAAGAGATCAAGGCCATTCTGGCCAACACATTGAAACCCCGTCTCTACTAAAAATACAAAAAAATTAGCCAGGTGTGGTGGCACGCACCTGTGGTCCCAGCTACTCAGGAGGCTGAAGCAGGAGAATTGCCCGAACCCAGGAGGCGGACATTACGGTGAGCCGAGATCGCGCCATTGCACTCCAGCCTGGGTAACGAGTGAAACTCCATCTCAAAAAAAAAAAAAAAAAAAAAAAAAAAAAAAAGAAAAGCTACATTCATTACTCAAAATATCTTGGGGTCCCCTTTGAAACTGTCTTCAGGGCTGGGCATAGTGGCTCATGCCTGTAATCTCAGTACTTTTGGAAGCCAAGGCAGGTGGATAACTTGAGCTCAGGAGTTCGAGACCAGCCTGGGCAATATAGTGAGACCTTGCCTCTATTAAAAAAAGAAAAAACTTCAATGCTAAAAACAAATATTGAACACTTACTATGGATTACTGTAAATCACTGCTAAAGGCTCGTCATATAAAACTGAAGGCCCTTAAACCAAAATCTGAGTGGCTCTAGCAGCTAACCTAAAAGATGGACGTCAACACAAAGCACCGTTGGAGCTCAGAGAGACGAACTCACAATGGGGAAGACAAGGGAACTGTCAATATACAACTCTCTAAAGACAAATAGGAACTCAGCAGGAATGAAGAAGGCCACATTAAAACTTCCGAAAAAAGGGGGTAATTAATGTAAATCTATAGGAATAAGGAAAGGCTAAGCCATAGGAACAGCGTGTGCAAAGGCATAGAGTTGGTAAATATTGAAAGTCAGGTAATTCAATGTAAGTAACCAGAGTTAATGGCACTGTGATAGGAAGTAAGGCTGTAAAGCTAGGTTGAGCTCAATTAGGGAAGGTCTTGATACTTTCACTCTGCAAAGAGGCGGCCTTGGCATCCAAAAACTTCTTCCCCAGAGTTCAAAGTTTAAAAGTCAACTCTGGCAGTTCTTTATAAAAGCGATTAGAGCAACAGGCAGGATTTCTCATGCCCTCTGCTCATGTTCTACTGCAGGTGATGTTACTCAAACTGCTTGTCTACTTCACTCGGTTTCAAATGATGTTAAGCTGTGCTCAAAAACCAAACCTACTCTAAGGAGCAAAACCTACTACCCTGGAAGGTACTTTAAAAACTCAGCAAACTGACACAAGAACAGAAAAACAAACACCGCATGTTCTCACTCATAGGCGGGTGTTGAACAATGAGAACACACGGACACAGGGAGGGGAGCATCACACCCTGGGGTCTTTTGGGGGGGCTATGGGAGGGACAGCGGGGGTGTGGGGAGGTTGGGGAGGGATAACATGGGGAGAAATGCCAGATATAGGTGACGAGCAGATGGAAGCAGCAAACCACATTGCCATGTATGTACCTATGCAACAATCCTGCATGATCTGCGCCTGTACCCCAGAACCTAAAGTGCAATAAAAAAACAAAATCCCAAAAGTGAAATCCCCAACACTGGAAAATCACGATGTATTACTTTAGAATCGATAGTAGGTATGTATACAGTGCATATGAATTTGTGTGTACAGGTACCCACGTGCCAAGAAGAAATAAAAGAGTGTGAGAACACTGGGTGAAGTGCGGCCGCTCTTGGAGTTCTTTCCTGGTAACCATGGCCTATCACACTTCAGATAAAAGACTGTCTGTCATTTGCTGGGCACATGACTCAGGCCTGTTATCCTGGCACTTTGGGAGGTCCAGATGGGAGGATCGCTTGAGCCCAGGAGTACAAGTCAGCCTGGGCAACATAGCAAGACCTCCTCTCTACAAAAAAAAAAATTAGCTGGACATGGTGGTGCATGCTTGTAGTCCCAGCTATTCAGGAAGCTGAGGTGGGAGGATCACTTGAACCTGAACTCAGGATGTCAAGACTAGAATGAGCAGTGATCACACCACTGCACTCCAGCCTGGGTGACAGAGCAACACCCTGTCTCAAAAAAAAAAAAAAAAGAAAGAAAAGAAAAGAAATGGGGCCAGGCACAGTGGCTTACACCTGTAATCCCAGCACTTTGGGAGGCCAAGGTAGGCAGATGACGAGGTCAGGAGATCGAGACCATCCTGGCTAACACAGTGAAACCCGTGTCTACTAAAAAATACAAAAAATTAGCCAGGCATGGTGGCAATCACCCATAGTCCCAGCTACTCAGGAGACTAAGGCAAGAGAATCGCTTGAACCCAAGAGGTGGAGGTTGCAGTAAGCCAAGATCTTGCCACTGCACTCTAGCCTGGGTGACAGAGCAAGACTGTCTCAAAAAAAAAAAAAAAGATAACCACCAACCAAAGCCAGAAGTAACAACTTTCAAAATAATCATCAAGCACCACAGGGTCTGCCTGCTCCTTTCTTGCCTCCTCAGCTCAATTCTACTAACACAAAGAATGAGTTTCAATTTTGTAGCAAATTATATTTTATAAATGGAGTAGCATTTTAGTTAACATTCATTTCTGGGCTTCTGTGACAAAAAGAAAAGCATTTACTAATCTTTCAGGGACACGGTGAGATTTAAATCATTTATGTGGCTCCATAAGTTTCAACGAAAGTGTTCAATGTGCTTTCTCT